AGCAAATACTTTCTCGAAGCGGATTTGGCATCCAAAAATTCCTTTGAGAATAAGAGCCTTCTTTTGGAGGCTGTCCTATGGTGCAATCCCTATGGACCTTAAAAAAATGGGGCTGCATTTTCCCATCCAAGTGCCGTTGTTGCGAGATTCCACGACAAGAAGACTTGACTCACCTTTTTACACAATCGGACGTGGCACATGGAGTTTGGCAGTCTTATGCCTCGATTTGGCATAAACCATATCATTATGGGTCAATGCATCCTTATTAGAACTTGGACGTCCGCTCATAGTCTTCGTACGCAGGATGGGTTGATTGCTTTGGGAATCTTGTTTTTTGGCTGTTGGGAGATTTGGAAGAGTCGGTGTTATGCTATTTTCGAGGACATTCCTATGAATACGGCAACCATTGTACGGAATATGACGCAACATCTGAAAACCCTAAATGACGCCATACAAGTTCGGGCATCGGAGGATAAGGAGGCGCGTATTGTCATCCAGTATCTCAACTTCGGAATCAAGACTTCAACGATGCTTAAGGACATCTGGATTAAATGGCAGCCTCCATTCCCTCCCAAGGTTAAACTGAATGTTGACGGCTCGAGCAAGGGAGATTTTTGTTCAGGTGGTGGCGTGTTTGGCACCTCTACTGGAAACGTGGTTCAAGGGTTTTCCCACTTTTACGGGAAATGATCGCTTCTTTTCGCAGAAGCTCAAGCTATATTAGATGGGTTGCTTATATGTCGGGAATCGGGAGTCGAGAAATTGATTTTAGAATCAGACTCAAAGCTGGTATTAGACATGATACTTAACAAGGCTACCATGGCATGGGAGATTCACTACATTATATCTTGCATTCGGCAACTTCTTAAAGACTCTTGGGGTGGTCAACATGTTCATAGAGAGGCAAATGGTGTAGCCGATGAATTAGCTAAGCTGGCTCATGATCATAAGGAGAAGAAACGGTATTCAACAGGTGACTTTCCTCGTCAAATTCGACCCTCCATTTTATTAGATCGCGTCGGAATGCAGCGCTTCCGCAAAGCTTCGAAGCTCAACTGAAGATGGTTTTTATGATTACCTACAGCCTCATTCAACTGTGTAGTGGTGGATGTTTGGTTATTTGCATTAGTAAACCCCTTTTGGGGCCTTTTAGATATTTTTTGTAATTTAGCCAGCTATAGGGTTGCTAGTTTTAGGATTATCTTATTTTGCCCCCATTTGGGCCAAATTGTAATTAGAAAAGTTAGGGGAATCCTTGGCTTTTTATTACAATTGTAGGGGTACTCTTTCCTTGTGCTAGGTCCACAAGGTTTTGACAAGGCCCCAAACGCCAATTTATAATGGAATAACAAAGTCTTTTGGCCAAAAAAAAATTTTGAAGGGAAATAATGAATATAGAACGACTTTTAGTAAATGTATGACATTTTTTTAATTTTAATTTTTAGAACGTATTTTAGTAGCTATAGACATTTTAATATAAAAATTAATTATCATCCTATATATATCGTTAACTGCCTACAAACTACATTTATTCTCTACAATTTACGGCATCAAACACATCTAAAGAAACTCTAAATTTATTTATATTTCATATTCAGTATTGAGTAAAACTAAATTTATTTGATTTCTAGATTAGTATGCTGAATTAATTCAAAACTTACAGTCAAAACATCCAAAATGCAAAAGAAGATCGAAGATGCATATTTACTATGGATAGTTAGAGATGGAGAGAGATACATATTTACACTCAAAATTACAAATAAACACTATCAAACTATGACTGGGTGCAAGCCCTATGGTTATTATGCTCCCTTTTCCGATAATACCATTGTTATCATTAAAGGAAAATAAGGATAAAACACCAAATCCGGCACATAAAACAAGAATTTTTTTAGCACCTAAATGGAGATTTTACCTCACTTTCGGCTGTATTATCCTCCAAAATTAATAAATCCATGTCCTTGTTGATTAATGATAATTAATGGTATGATATAATTAATAAATCCATGTTCTTATTCCAATGTAACGTCGATGGAGACTTATAAAAAAAAATGAAAAAATAAGATGAAATATATTAGATTTTGAATTTTTAAATATAAAGTGTCTACGTTTCCTAAAACTCTTATTGGGATATTCTCCCAAAATATTATCGTTAAAAACTTCTAAAGGAATTTGACAAAATAAGATGGAATATATATTAGATTTTGAATTTTTAAAATAAGATATCCTACATTTACTAAAACTATGTCGTGCATCTATCACCACCCTTATATCAAAGAGTTAAATATGAATTGAAGCTCTCTCTATTAACGAAA